ATTGATGGTGATGGGGAAAGGAAGCATAAAGCTAGAGTTTGGAGGTCAAGTTCAAATTGTAAGTAATGTGTATTTCATACCTGAGTTGCGTAACAATTTGCTCAGTGTAGGTCAATTGCAAGACAAAGGCATTACTATACTGATAAAGAATGGAGCATGCAAGTTGTACCATCCAACTCGGGGACTTATAATGGAAAGCATAATGACGGCAAATAGAATGTTTGTAGTCATCACAAACATTCTCATTGCAAATTCAGCATGCTTTAATACATATGATGAAGAGGCAAGTGAAATTTGGCACAAACGATATGGGCACTTGAGTTATAAAAGTCTTGCCTTGCTGCATAATAAGAAGATGGTTAAGGGGATTCAAAACATCAAATCACTAACAAAGAAGTGCACAAGCTGTATGCAAGGGAAACAACACAGAAAAGTTATACCAAAGAAGAGCAAGTGGAGAGCCACAAAGCAACTACAACTCATTCACTCCGATATTTGCGGTCCTATCTCACCTGCATCTTACAGCAAAAAAAGGTATTTGCTAACATTCATTGATGATTTTAGTCGGAAATTATGGGTGTATTTTCTAAATGAGAAGAGTGAAACATTTTTTACTTTCAAAATGTTCAAAATAATGGTGGAAAAGGAGTCTGGCTTATCCTTATGTAGTTTGAGAACAGATAGAGGAGGAGAATTCAACTCAAAAGAATTCACAGATTTTTGCAAATCACAAGGGATCAAGAGACAGCTGACTACGGCATATACGCCTCAGCAAAACGGAGTTGCCGAGCGTAAAAAGCGAATAATTCTCAACATGGTGAGATGTTTACTCGAAGAGAAGAAGATACCTAAAAATCTTTGGCCAGATGCTGTGAAATGGACCTGCCATATTTTAAATAGAAGTCCCACTGCCTCTTTGAAAAACAAAACTCCAGAAGAATGTTGGAGTGGTTTTATACCTAATGTTGAATATTTCAGGGTCTTTGGATGCATTGGCAATGTCCATATACCTGATGCTAGGAGACAAAAATTGGATGCAAGAAGCAAAAAGCAAGTGTTGATCGGTTACAGTGAAGAATCAAAAGGGTACAAGATGATTGATCCTTGCACAATGAAAGTAACAATCAGCAGGGATATAGTGTTTGAAGAAGGTGAAAAATGGGATTGGAAAAGCACAACAGAAGAGACAAAACATGACATTTTGGACTGGGGAGAAGCCTATGAACAAACATACAATCAAGGGGAGGAAAGTGAAGATGAAGCTGCCCTAAATGAAGATGAAGGAAATCACGAAAATGACGAAACCATATCAAATGATGCAGCAGCCTCACAAGATCAGACAGATGACGACACTAATTCCAGTGATGATGTTATTAGTGATGTCGCGGCCTTATCAACTCGAAGAAGAAGAACTCCGGCTTACTTAGAAGATTATACTAGCGGAGAAGGGCTCTCGGATAATGAGGTACAAAACTTCGCTCTCTTCATTTCTGAATCTGATCCGTTGTCTTATGAACAAGCAGTAAAATCAAAGAAATGGAGGGAGGCAATGAATCTTGAGATCAAAGCGATAGAGAAGAACAATACATGGAAGCTGGTAAAAGCTCCCCCCAGAGTAAAGGTGATAGGAGTCAAATGGGTTTATCGAACCAAATTAAACGAGAACGGAGAAATTGACAAATGCAAAGCAAGACTGGTGGCAAAAGGTTATGCTCAAGAAAAGGGGATAGACTACAATGAAGTCTTCGCTCCAGTAGCAAGATGGGACACCATTCGAACTGTGTTGGCTGTAGCAGCAAGAAATCATTGGAAAGTTTTCCAGCTTGACGTCAAAAGCGCCTTTTTACACGGCAAACTCAGTGAAGATGTGTATGTCGCTCAACCACAAGGATATGAAGTAAAAGGGGATGAGAACAAGGTGTACAAGCTTGAGAAAGCCCTTTATGGCTTGAAGCAAGCTCCGAGGGCATGGTTCAGTAGAATTGAGGGATACTTCATCAAAGAAGAATTTGAAAGGAGTTGTTGTGACCATACTCTATTTGTCAAGAAGCTTGAGGACAACAAAATTTTGATTGTAAGTCTCTATGTCGATGACCTTATTTTTACTAGTAATGATTTGTCGATGGTGCAAGGTTTCAAGACCTCAATGAAAAATGAGTTTGAAATGTCGGATCTTGGCGAAATGAGTATTTTTTGGGTGTAGAAGTTAACCAGGGCAGCAATGGCATTTACATCAGTCAAAAGAAATATGTAAATGAAGTACTTGAGAGATTTGGAATGGGAGGCTGCAATGGAGTCAGAAATCCAATAGTGCCAGGATGCAAATTGACAAAGGAAGGAGGAGGAGCAAAAGCTGATGCAACAATGTTCAAACAAATTATTGGAAGTCTCATGTATGTGACAGTGACGAGACGTGATTTAATGTACAATGTTTGTCTCCTAAGCAGATTCATGTCAAGTCCAAAGGAAATACACATGTTAGCAGCCAAAAGAGTATTGAGATACATTCAGTCCACTGCAGATTTTGGTATTTTTTATAAAAGGGATTGTACAACTGAAATGATGGCGTATACAGATAGTGATTATGTCGGCGACTTGGATGACCGAAAGAGCACGTCCGGATATGTATTTATGTTGAGTGGTGGAGTTGTAGCTTGGGCATCTAAGAAGCAACATGTGGTAACTTTGTCAACAACAGAAGCAGAATATGTCGCTGCTGCCTCTTGCGCCTGCCAAGCGGATTTTAAAACAGATCAAAGGAACTCAAAATGACTGTGTTAAAATTTTCTGTGATAACTCTTCTACTATTAAACTTGCAAAAAATCCAGTCTTCCATGGAAGGAGTAAGCACATTGACGTACGATTTCATTTTCTAAGAAATCTTACAAATGATGGATCAATCAATATGGAATACATTGGTAGCAATGAGCAAGTAGCTGACATCATGACCAAACCTTTGAAGATTGATCAGTTTGAAAAACTCAGAGAAGCAATGGGTGTTAGAAGCAGTCTTGGCATAAACTAACATGTAGCTGACATGTTTAGTTTAGGGGAGAGTTTTTGTTAGTATTTTCTCATTAGTAGTTTATTCCAATAAGTTCCTATAAAATAGGACATGATAGAATTAGTTTTACATTTGACTCATTCTTGTTTTCAATTCACGTTTCCTAAGTTTATGGGAGAAGTGACTTTAGTTTAGATTTTCAGTTTCTTTGTAAAGCTATTTAATAGCTTCAGTTGGTTACTTTCAGAACAAAAAATATAATTGCATTTGTGCAATTTTCTATTGTGTTCATTATTAACATTTTGGGGACAAACTTAGATTTGGACTTCAACCTATCCACGGAAATCTCAGGATTTGTAAATTTGCAGTTGTCAACTGAATGACCAATATTTTTACAATGATCACAAAAATCAGGTCGGTTTTCGTAATCCAAGTCAATGAAAAATGAAAACCTATTTCTCTCAACGAGCATTTTATATATGATTTTGTACGTGTAGCGATAAAAAATGTAGCGGTATAAATCGAAGATCAAGCTATTGATTAACTCGACTCATAAAAGTAAGAGTCGCCACTGCGCTTTATTATTTCCAAGGGAAAAAGGGAAAAGAGCGAAATAAAACCCTTAAATATGCAATGTAAAGTAATATTTAAAAGTAATGAAAATACAATACGTTTTTGAAATAGATCTAAGGTTCGGGGGTTGGTTATCCAATGGGAAGGTACTAGCACCCAATGCATCTGCGATACTCCACATTAACCTTTTGAAATATCTATTTTGGTTTAAATTGTTTGTTTGGTTAAAATGGTTTGTTTGACTTAAAATGGGTGTGAATGAGATTTTGAAGATACGATGACCTAGTGTCGAAGTTTTGACTTAAAAGGTGTGTGTTTTAAAATTGAGTCTTTTAGGAAAACTAACTTAAGATTAACAAAATAGTAAAACAAAAATGAATGAAGAGATTCACTCAATCGTATAAGATGTATTTGATGACATGGAGTCAACAAAGTTAAAATATTTCCCTTGAAATTGAGATGGACGAAAGATATAAAGATTAAACGATCGAGAATAAAGTTAATTAGAGTGACAATTGAATAATAACGAAAATTCAATAAGAGGTTAATTTATAAGCATGTATTTTTAAACAATTAAATAAATAACAAAAATTAAATAAAGACTAAATTATAATAGCATGTATTTTTAAACAATTAAATAAATGACAAAAATTAAATAAAGACTAAATTATAATAGCATGTATTTTTTGTATTTTTTATAATGGCAAAAAATAATTATAAAATAGAACTAAACTAATATTTGTTATCATATATTTAATAAAATTGGGAAATAAGGCTAAATGAACTAAAAAACAAAAATAAAAAAAGTCCCAACAAGGGGTAGAACTCGGGTCCCTTAGGTTATCAATGGTATGTCTTGTCACCAAGCTATGTTGTTTATCTGTTATAACTATGTTCTAATTAAAGTAAGGTGAATATTGATAATGTGATTGGGCCAACAGGTCCAATGGGACTGACCCGGTTTGGAAGAGAACAAGGAAAGGTTTTGGAAAACCCTAATACCAAAGAGGTGTCGCTGTTGTTTTGTTGGAAAGAAAAAAAATAGAATTAATTATCATTGTTTCCAAAAAACAATCAAAAGGAAAAGTTGAAATAATACAATCCTCTCTCTCTGCTTCAATTTCCATTGTCCAACATCATCTTCGTCTCTTAATCTACAGCATCACCATCAATTTTATGCAACAACAAGGCATCAAGACTCTGAATCATCGACGTCATCTTCAATGTGAGTCCTTGTTCATCATCAGTGCAACATCGTTCATCATTATGGCTTCTTTGACTGCTGCATTGGAGTTTCACTCCAACTTATGTATTGTTTCATATCCGGTGTAGTGAGATTGTGGACGGGTATTTGAGAAGAGAAGTCGTGGCAAAATGAACAGAGGCGATGACGGTTAGCGCAGAGATAAAAATGGTAGCTGGATCATTGTCTGGTTATCACGGAGAAGAGAAATTGCGGCAGGTTGAAGAAGATTAGAGGGCGAGCAGAGTTGTAAAGAGGGAGTACAATGATGATGATCGAAAGCTGGCGAATGGAGGTTTGGGTAAGTAGCAGGTTATGTTGGCGATATGGTTGAACAACGACAGATCTCTTTCGAGTTTCTGGTGCAGAAAACAAGTGCAGGGCATCCTCAATGGTATGAACAACATCAGGGTGAATGTTGAGGTGAAGAAAGCGATACTTCCGGAACATGGGTGTGATACGGTGGGAGAACTGACTTAAGGTTTTGCGTTTGTTTTCGCAAATGTTTCGGTTGAGCAAGAGTCGCCACCGACTTTTTATTTTATCCTAAGGAAAGGTTAAAAAGCACAGCAAAAAACCTTTTGAGATGTTTTCTTGGGTTCGGGGAGTAGATTATAGAAAGGGAAGGTATTAGCACCCTTTCTATCCATGGTTATCCATGGGCTCTTAGTTACTTGCTTAGATCACTTGCCTTTTGTTTTCAATTGTTTGAAATGGTGCTTTGTGTGTGGGTTTTGAGAATGTTTTGAAAAGAGGCCAATGTGGTGGCAACCTTTGTAATGATCCATGTGGGGATGTATACAAAGATGTATGTCTTTTAAAAAGGTTTTCATTTGTTTTTGAAAGTTGTTTTGAAAGTGATTTTGAAAGTGTAGTGAGGTGTGGTTTTGAAATTAGGCAAGTGTTTTGTTTTGCAAGTTTGATTCAAGTAACTAAGAGGTTATCTACTCCTAAATTTCTCAAAAGATTATTGCTATGTTTTAACCCTTTTAACAAGTTTGTTCCACCATTGGATTTGGTGGACAACCTTATGTTAGGATGTGAAAGGGACAGGCGCGGGTCATCGTTTAGACCATAATTGCAACGGCGTTAAATGTCTTTGGGCAATTTTCTTTAAGGGACTTGATCATTTGTTTTTGTTTGTTTTGAAAAGTTTTATCGAGGGACTATGATCATTCAAATTGTTTGCTTTGCCCAAAGAAGTTCAACATACAATATGGCCCAATTTTGAAAGGCAACAAGTGGGATACCCTAGGGGGTGCAAGTGTGAATTGTGTGTCCATTTTCATGCTTGTTTATCTTGAGATTAGGTCATAACTATTTTTTTATCGTTTTTTCGCATACAAACCCTAATTCTAACATGTTATCATTAGAAAGCAATAAAGTGCGAAATTTAAATTACTAAGCTATTACAAAACCAAATATGGGAAGGGGGGTACAAATGTTCAAATGGGGATATTGACAAAAATTTAAATCTAAATTATTACATCATTTTGAATATTTTGCAAAATAAATAAATTGCATGATTAAATGGAAATTAAATAAATATGCAAAAATGCAAAAAGAAAGTTTTTTATGTATGAGAAAAGTAGGGTTTATGTAAAATAAAATAAGAAAATAAAAAGGTATTATTTTGAGTATTTTTAACTTTTTTAGGGCAAAAACCCTAATTTTAAAGAAAATGTATTATTATTTGATTTAAATACAAGTATTTATTTACTATTTACAAAAATAAAATAAATAGAAGTATATTATGAAAAAAAAAGTATTTTGTATCTAATATTAATAAAATGAAAAATTCAAGTATTTTTATATTTTAACTTAAATATATTGATAAACATATATATATATATATATATATATATATATATATATATATATATATTAAGTCTTAAATATGTATTATACACAAAATAATATTTATTTAATATTTTAATAAAATAAATAAAAAGAGTATTTTTATGTGAAATATTTTCAGAAGGTAAATAAAAATAAAAAATGTATTTACACTATTTTTTCTATTTATTCTAATAATAGTATATATATAATATTTATATACAAACAAAAGAAATAAATCAAATAAATATGCCATATATTCAAAAATGATGGAAAAAATATTTTCAAAATTTTAATATACTGAGAAAAAATAGACAAGTCAAACAAAAAAAGAAAAAGTCAAAAAGAATTAAAAATAAGACAAATGGGCTTGGGGGGGTGTAATAGCAGTTATGGGGTGTGAAAAGAAAAGCACAAGACAAGCCCAGCCCAATGCCACTATCTTCAACCTCCAGCACAAACTTTTGAAAAAAACGCGCGCCTCTGTTCTTCAATGTCCAACTCTTGATTCCTGGCTTTTTAGCAAAAACTCATAACACAACAAATGTTCAGCATGAAGAGACGATTCTAACCATGTATAGAACTTGACCTAACTCTCTAAGATGAGGGAGAATTTCTTCTCCCCCAAATCCTAACCTAGTTTTTCTGCCATTTTCAAACTACAAATTCTCTCTACTCAGGCAAAAGAAATGAAATGTAAAGATATGTACATGTTCAGGGCTATGAGTAGAACCTTGTTTCTTCACAAACTTAAGACTAAAGATGCATGATAAGAGAGATACGAGTTCAAAATTTTACATGTGCAGTTGAACTTCTATCTGGAGAATGAGGAACTTCTAATGCAGAGTAATGATTGGAAAAGCTTCCTTGAGGTCCAGGGATGCTTTTTCAATGCTTACTTTGTCTTGAAACTTCTTGTATCAAGCTATAGAACTTCACCTGCAAAAGGAAAAAATGAAAATGGTGGAAACTGTTAGAGGGGTTACAGGTCAGGTTTTAGGTCATGGTTAGCTTGCATATATGCTAGGGAATGTGTATGGATTGATTTTGGTAAGAATGCTCGAGGGAAATGGGAGTTGGCACTCAAACTGCAGAGGCAACTCTGTTTTTGCAGTTTGAGGATGATTCTGAGATGGAGGGTGTTTTGGAGGTGCAAGGGTCGTGTCTTGGCTTGGTTAGGTTCTATGGAAGATGTTTGATCACTTTGTTCTTGTGTTTCTATGCTGAGATTGAAGTTGTGATAAGTTATGCACTTTTCTTCTATCTTAAGCAACAAAATGCCACTTGATGTTTTAGGTCAGTAGGGGACCTCTAATCCTGCAACTAAGCCTCTCTTGATCAGAGCAATTTGTCCATAATCTTGTGCCAAAAGGATTTTGCTTGTACTTGCTTGGATTTCAATTTGACATAAAGCTAGCTTTTTACAAAAATGGATAAAGCACTTTATCTACTTTGAGATCAATCCACTATGCAATGTTAGAACACAAAGAACATGGCCTTGGCACAATGAATAAGCATTAAATTATTGAGTATGGAATGGTTCAAGGACCTGTAATCAAGCATAAAGCAAGCTGAGTTCAAATTTGCAAGATTATGAACATGTTTTGATGAAGAACAAAAGTGAATTTTTGCCAACTTGTGAAATTCGAATCTCTCAAGTTATGAGGTTTTTTGAGAAGTTCTTGGACATTTTGTAAAGCTTGGAATGTGCACTACAATCCATCTTTGAAATGCAAGTTGAAATTCCAAGTGGAAGGGTATGAAAAGTGGCCTTGAAGTGGGGTAGAAAACCTTGTCAAAATAGGTTAAAATTTCACTAAGTTAAAAATGGTTTAGTGCCCTTATTCAAAAAATTGTAACTTGAGATACAAGCTTCAAATGAGAAAACTTTGTGAATCAAAGGTATAGATTATGCAACAAGCTACAACTTTCATGTTTTGACTTTTGTTTGAATCCAAATGGATCTTGGTGAAAAGATGGGGCAAAGTTGGGAAAAATTAGGGTTTTTCATAACTTAGAAAAATTCTAAGTTATGAAAAATTCCATTTTCTAACCCTAATTTGCATTTTGTGATTTCTTGGTGAACAAGTTTCATGATTTGGCAAGTTTTGATGAAAAATGAATCTTGACTCTTGATTTTGACCAAAAAAGTCAAAGTTTGACTTTTCAGTGTACAGTCAAAATTGATTAATTGACTGGGAAATTCAACTGTCAATCTTGTGTACTTGGGATCTTTTGAGCTTGATGAACATGTCAAGATAATTCCATGGGGTCCTTGAGTCCATATGTGAGCTTGGTTTGCCATTGGCTAGGTCAAACAGTCAAAAATTGCCTTTGTGCAGTCAAAACCCTAAAAATGACCATTTTGCCCTTTTGGTGATCTGATCAAATTTCTTGTGGAATTGTGATCCAAACTTGATCAAATGGTCCATATGAGTTCAATATGTTGATGTGGGTCAAAAATCATGAGGTTTGACTGTCAATTGGCCACAGTTGACTTTTCCCCAATACAACTGATTTCTAGGTCAACTGTTCAATTGACTGGGCAAAACTTGGAATCAAGACTTGAAACTTGGCATGGGTAAACTTGGGAGTCCAACATGAAGCATGAAAGTCATCTTAGGCATTTAGGTCAAAACATCCTTGGGCAAACACAAACCCTAATTTGAGTCCACAGTGCAAGGAGAAGTCTTGAGCAGAGGAAACCCTAACTGGATCTTGATCTTCAAAGGTCTTGTGATGAGAAAATGTTGAGGAAATGGGAGGGCAAATTTTGGGGTACAACAGTTGCCCCTGTTCAATCTTCTTGAACCTGAAGAGTTAGATTGGCAAGTTTGCCTTTCGTGACTCGAGGGTAAAAGGAGATTGGACACTAGAGTGCCCGGAAATTTGCACTCGCATGTTGAAGTCTTAATAGTGTGATGTCAGGAATGGGCTTATAGATGCCATTTGGAGAGGTGGTGGATAGGGAGATGGGCTTATAGATGCCATCTGGAGATGTGACAGAACTTTGTCGGGAATGGGCTTATAGATGCCATTTGGAAGGTGTCGATCGCATAAGAGAATCCTTAGCGAGAACTTGTGTATTTGAGAAAGACGGATGTTTTCCTGGCTTGTTACAGGTGTTTGATCTTCAGTCTCCTTATGCAGATATGCCCTGGCTAGATACAGGAGTCGAATCTGGAATTGGTTGCTCACAAATGTGCCCTGGCTGGATACAGGAGTCGAATCTGGAGATAATCGTTTAATAGATGTGCCCTGGCTGGATACAGGAATCGAATCTTCGAACTCTTCAGACGTGCCCTGGCTAGATATAGGAATCGAATCTTCGAACTCTTCAGACGCGCCCTGGCTAGATACAGGAATCGAGTCTGGAAACGTGGTCAACAGATATGCCCTGGCTGGATACAGGAATCGAGTCTGGAGATGTTGTAGTTAATAGATGTGCCCTGGCTGGATACAGGAATCGAATCTTTGAACTCTTCAGACGTGCCCTGGCTAGATACAGGAATCGAGTCTGGAAACGTGGTCAACAGATATGCCCTGGCTAGATACAGGTATCGAATCTGGAACTGTGACAGTTGAAGGTAGTTTTTTTTTGGGATTGTCTTTTT